GTGCTTACAACAATTAATATCAATTTGTAACTAATTATTACAGTAAATTTTAACATTTCTCTAGTAAAATCTACTATAATTAAGGGTAGTATTTTATAAACTTTGTACTATTAATTACCACAAAGGAATGCACATTGTGCACAAATTTATTGGATTTTTATTATCTTTGTAGTAAAATCTACTACAATTAAGTATAATATTTATAAATTTTGTAGTAATAATTACTACGAAGAAATGCACAATGCACAAAATTTGTAGTATTTTTATTTTCTTTTGTAGTGAAACCTACCATAATTAAGTATATTTTATAAATTTTGTAGTAATAATTTCTACAAAGAAATGCACATTGCACAATTTGCACATTTGTTGTATTTTTATCCTTTTTTCTAGTAAACTCTACTACAATTAAGTATATTTTATAAATTTTGTAGTAATACTTAACACAAATATATGCATATTTTACACTAATTTGTTGTAATTGGATTTGCTCGTAGGGGATCAGAAACCATCAGAAACTTGTCATTTTTCAGTTCGTGCGTATATGTTTAATAATGCAGTCAAATCTGTGAAAATATGACGACATTACTTAACAAGTTTCTGGATTGCGTACAAAGATGATTACTTTTTAACTATGAATAAAAATATAAATATGTTAGTATTTATTATAATAATCTAAATTCATTAGTATCAATTATTCAAAATGTTTATTACTCATAAAATGTGGGTTACATACCTACATTTTGGTCTGGCAAGCATAAAATGTAAAAAAATTGTTGACAATAAAAAAACAATAAAGCAATAAAGCATAAACCAATACTTGAAATGGTTTGAAACATAGATCAACAGCTCTTAAAGGGGTTTCGACTTTATATTTTACATTATGGATGACGACGTAACAATCATTAATACTGTGGAAGTTATCACCTACTAAAACTGGAATGGGCAGTGTTATCAAACCATGTGCTGCATACTTTCCCCGTTGTTGCTCTAGCTGTGTCTCCAGATTAGATATAACCTATAATAGCAGAATACATTCTTCGTTTGGGATAATTTTAAAAAACCTAAAATAAATATCTTACCTTTAAAACTAATAAAAATCCATTTTAAACCTCTACTCTTGAAAGTCTCCAGTGAATACCGGCTTTTCTTACCTTTGATGTTTACAGAGGAGAATAACAAGCATATATATAATAATTACAATTTATGTTGTTCACTTACTTGAACTTTTATTTTTTAAAATACCTTCATTCTCCTTTAATATTTGTTGTAAATATGCATCTTTCTTATTGTTAACAAAATTTAAAAGTTTTGGTGCAAATTGCGGCCACAAACCTAGAAATTGGTTGACTTTCACCGGGAAAAATTTTTCAAAATCTATTTCAAGCTAAAAGAGGATGAAAATTATAAATATTGTAAACAAAAAAAAAACGGAAAAAGACAAAAAAAATGGAAAAGAATTTTATATAAATATATAACGATTGCCAACAACAGCTCCGTGATAAATAGCTGTTTCTTTTAACTTTTCTAATTTTTTTATAAATCCTAAAAATTTTATTCAGATTATCTAGAAACGTTTAGCTTTTACGGTCAGAAGTTTAGCGCGATTTTAATAAATCCATTACACGGAGAATCATGTATTCTGGGCCGAAACTGATGCAACCCGAATAAATAAATAAATTTCATTACTTACCGTTGAATCGTTCTCCAAGTACATCAAACAATGCCCATTCTCTGAGAAAATTGTTGACATTGTCACACATCTTAACACTGAGCTACACTGAGCACCTGAGCACTAACTAAGTTAACAGAACACAGAAGATAAAATATAGAAAATATTCGGTCGAAGACGGGTCGAAACTTAATGTTGCACATGCTGTGTGTAATTTTACTACACACAATAGTAATGTGTACCATAAACGAATAATATAATAATTGTAGTAAAAAGTACAACGCAGAAAATATACAACAAATTTTATTTAAATATTACTACAAAAAATACTAAAAATTAACTCGGATTGTCTTCATACTATACATTGTATGAACGTCTTTGATTGTTGAAAGCAGTAATTTATTCTTCTTCTTTTTACACGAAAACTATTATCTTTAAGAAAAAAACTAAAGAGCCATACCATTGTTAATTATTATTTTTTTGTGTTAATATTTCATAGTGTTAAAAAGTTCTTATAGAAAATTTAAAGGGGGTTGTGAATTTCAACCCATCAGTGGGCGCCAAGGAAGCTTAAAGTATGCTTGAAAATAAGGTGTTAACCAGTAGTAAATACGTACAAATTTTTAATTACTTCGGCTTACTTATAGCCGAAATAAAATATAAAATGTAAATTTTTGGCTCAATTTTGACCGCTCATAGCTCGAGTACAAAGGAGTTGCGATCCTATGTTTATACAAAAAGGTTGTGTTATTTTGTCAAGTACTACGTCCTAGTAAAGTTTCTCGATTAAAATCTGAACCAGCCTGTATAAATGTGGTCTATACTCGTACATTCCTAAACATTCCTACACCTATTTATTGTAGTTTATCTCATATTGGGAAATTTATCAAAACATGCAGGAAATGCCGGAAACTGTTTGTATTTTTATTAGAAGGCCATGACATTTTGAATGTTTTTGGTCTACGTTTGTATTATTGTACATTGAACATCATGGCAAGTTATTCCAACGTTATAAACAACAATTATAAACTTTTCGACAGGACGTGTCGAACACTTAATGAGAGATGCTTAACAAACAATTTCTCAATATGAAGATAACTACAACAAATAGGTGTAGGAAGGTGTAAAATTATATTCCTTATCTGATAGGCTAATAAAATATGGGGCACTCCATTTACACTTTTCGATTTTCTTGCCATTGAATGTGGAAAAACGGTAATTCAATTTTTGATCACTCTGTGTAAGATACTCTGATACTACAAATGGCAATCTATTGGATAGCATCTGCAGAACAGTCGTGCCAATTTAGAGCTTTTTTGAATGAACGTTGCCTGAAAAATGGGGTTCTAAAGAGCATGGTGAAATTTGCCAAAAAATACTTTAAACCAAAATAGCTCGAATACGAAATACACTAGGCACCAATAACTTTTATCAAAGTCAGCATGAGGTGTAGTAAAAACTACAGCATATAGAATAATAAATAACGGACTTGTGGTTTACTTCCGGTACACAAAAAGAATTATACCTTATAGAATTATATATTTTTCTTACAGTATTATAAATTTTAAACCATACGATAAAATTTACATATTTTACGATTTAACTCTATCCTCCTATGAATACCAATTGTTACGTGGGTTTTTATCAAACTAAAGTTATCAGTAAACTTATTCATAAAATTTCTTAGTGTCTGAAAAAAAATATTTACGGAGTTGATTTTCTCTTTTGCACCAGTCACCTCGCAGACATGTAAGTATAATATTAATGAGCGCCACGTAGTTTCTAAATTTACATCAACCCGCAAAAAAAACATTTTGAGTAAAACTACGAAATTTAGACACAAAAATAATTTTAATTAAAGATAAATTAATAGATAAAAAATATAAAGAAATAATACAAAAAAAATAAGTATAAAAGATTATCAAAAAAGAATTAAATTAAAATTAATAAACAAATTCTTTATAAACCGACGGCGTGCCAGGAAGCGGTAGGTAAACTAAAACGAAATGAAATCGGAACCAACCGAAATTTCGCCAAACCACGGTAAAACCGAGAAACTAAACGAACAACTCCAAATACAAAAATATAATAATACCGCTACAAGGTAACAACAGATCTAAAATCTTCAAAAGTAAGTAAAAAAAAATTATTCTTTACTTGTTAACAAACACTTTTTTTTTAGAAACAACAAAAAATTAATCTTTTAAATCTACCGTGTCTTCAAATCTTTGTAGTATATAGGGATGACATAGTCTGAATATACAGATGTCCCGTATCTTCCGGATCAGAGCATTATATGGTTGAAGGATACATTATTCTGAAGCGATTTTTCTAATAATAATTTTTCGAAGTGTTTATAATAACCGCACAGGAACTGTTTAATGTCATCCAATAGGAGATCGGACGAAGGTAATCGGCCCCAATAACTGTAAAGAAAGTAACCAATAGATTCGACACGGAAAGAAAAATAAACTTTTTCCGTGAATCGGTATTGGACGACTTTAAACAGTTCCCGTGCGGTTTCTATAAACATTTCATTATTAGAAAAATCGCTCCAGAATAAGGTATCCTTCAACCGTACAATGCTATGATCCGGAAGATACGGGACAAGCTGTATAGATGGCCAATGAAGAGCGTTCCGGACCAACATGGTCAATCCTTCACTAATTTTCCCACCTTTCAATGAATCAGTCTTTCCCTATAAATTTAATTTCCACTTTTCACTTTCCACTAAATAACAAAATATAATCATTTATTTGATTAGCGTTGAAATTTTCTAAAAAAAACTCGTTTCTTACGCCTAAGCTTTTGAGCGGTTTTAAAATTCGTAATTCGAAGCTTTGTGGTGTTTATAACTCCCCGAAGGCGTTTCAAAAACTAATAAATCGATTGATTAAATCCACTAATTGTATATCTACCAACATTTTATCACCAAAATTAAATTTTCTCAACCCCGATATATCTTGTAAACAAGTTTTTGACGTCATCACATCCATAAATAAAATTCTTTTAACAATTGAACGCCACTTTAATTTTTATAATTCACCTGAATTTTACATTAATTAAGAGTAAAGTTAAATAAAATTTCGCCGTAATACAATTTGCAAGCATCAACATTTTAACTTTAAAATTTTTTTTTATTTAACTTTTTTACTTAACTCTTTTACTTAAGAGACCCAAAGGACTAAAGTCCCAACAAATCGGCATAAAATTTCATTAACATTGCATTTTAATTTTTGTTGTTTGACCCCAAATCTTCGCAATTGACCCCAAAAGACAGATAATCTTCAAATATGCTTCGAATATGCTTTTTCGATTTTGAATTACTCTGTTTTTTGCTGCCTATGCTGTTTTTAATATTTTTACCTCGAACAAGGATAACCTTTAACACTACGAATCCCTTTAAAAGAGTTTGGATTTCAAGAAGAATTCACATAATCTCTCACACCTCCAGTGAGTGTCATTAGTTAGCCAACCAACCAATCAATCGATTAAAAAAAATGAAGACTATAATTTTGTTAGGCATGTTGATTAGTGCAATCACATGTAATGTTGTAAATACCGAATCTAACGGTAAGTTGTATTCGACTTTTTTTTCAAATTTAATTCTATTTAATACACTATATACATAATAGTAATTCAAGTTGAAAAACGAGTGGCGAGGACACGAGTTTTTTTAATGAATGAGTGCTTTAAGTCTGATGAAACGTGTTTTTTATGCTATTTTTGAAATTCGCGTTCTTGTCCTTTTTTTTTAACAAAAATAAAATAAATTTTGACAATGTAGGGAAATAGGTATGTAGCAGTTGGTAACACCGTAACACTTGAAAATAGAAATTTGAATTGACAATTAGAAAAACACAAAATGTATTCACTTAAAAAATGTTTCATGTACACCTCCCAAAATAAGAGAAATTGCTCATAGTTCAATGTCCTCATCATTGTGGACCTTGTATTCGATGCTAAGAACGTGTTTAAACATCCATAGACAAAAATTGTCACATTCAGAACTAGAAAAATTAATGACTCAATATCACCAACTTGAATTGGTTCCATAAAATGTTACTAAAATCTTATTACAGCATCGGATGCTATAAGGAGTCTCATTACAGCACCCGTTTGAGTACTGTAATAGCTTTAATTACCGTCGCGAATTACAAAAACTAATTTTATTTTAATTTAATATATTATATTTAACTTAAGTTTTTGTTTGGACATATAACTTATATATCTATGTATTTTATTCGATTACAATAAGATGCTGCACCAAGTCTCGAAAAAAATCGTTTTTTGACCAGAATGCCATTCATTTCGTTTGTTAGTACAACAGTCGATAAACATCCTTATCAAGCGTCCATACAATATAGCGGAAGACATATTTGTAGCGGCGCAATCATTTCTAGTCAATACATTTTGACTACAGCTCAATGTGTTGATCGGTAAGTTGATGGTTTGCTTTTATATCAATAGTTTAGATATTTTAAGAAATTTAACACTTTTATATCAATGTTGATTTTACTACGAATCGCTTTTTTTGTAGGAGATCTCTTGATCTGTTGAGTGTTCGCGTCGGTACGACCGAATACAATCGTGGTGGACGAACAGTTTTGGTTAGTTCAATCGAAATAAATCCCGCTTATAATGCTAGAACGAATGACTACGATATATCCATTTTAAAACTAGCATCGTCCCTCGCCTTTTCCACTACGATAAAATCAATTGACATGATTGCTGCCGATGAGGATGTGGAACCTATGACTGAAGTCATCGCGATAGGCTGGAATAGTGCGACCCATGACGATATGAGCTCTAACGAATTAGTTATCGTTTCGGAAAAGGAATGTCGTCGTTTGTACGGATTAAATGCCATCACGCCAAATATGATATGTGCAGGCGGTGGAAACGACGGACTTAGCGGTGGCGAAGATACTTGTCTCGTAAGTTTTTTTCCAAAACTCCTGGATAACGTTTTATTTTTGTCTTATCTGTTGTTATTATTGCTGCTATTGTTGTGGTTATTATTATTACTGCTGTTGTAGAGTGTAAAAATTATGTTTTTATTCTTACAGATTGAACCAGGTACAAACTTGATTTTGGAGAAAACCACTAAAGATTCAGCTGGAGTAACGTCTGTCAAACCGATATTAATTGGTTTAGCCGCTTGGGGATACGGATGTACACGTTCGCAATATCCGTACGTTTACACATCAATTTCTAGCAATCGAGAATTTATTCGCAAAACGATATCTTAAAAAGAATGCAATCTAATCTATTTTTATTGTTGTTGATGATGTTGTTGACATCGTGAAATAAATCTCATGTGTCTTGAAAAAAGAAATAAATGATCTTTCTTGAATTCAATTTTTCATAGTTTTTCTTTACGATTAATGCACTCCAATAATATACAACCAATCAGAGTAACGATCGTTTAAAATTTCGACCAATAACGTAATTTTTTAATTGGATAAAAGTTACCTAGGTTTTTCAACTGAATAAATCACACGTGATATTATTTTATAACTGATAAAAACGCGACTACCATATATATACTTTTGTTTACCTGTCACATTTTTGACAACTATAATTAAGTCAAAAATAGTTAATAAATAATTAAAAATTGTCGATAAATTGTGCAATTGTCGTGTATTAATCTCCCTAAAATACGGTCGAGCTTGATTTTAAATCAGGCTAATTTTATTTTTAATTCACTCAAGTTTTGTTACCCTTTGGAAATAACTCTCAATCAAAATCAAAAGATAAAATCGCTCCAGCTAAAGCTGTCGCGATTTTATCGTGCTTTTGATTTCGAGTTATTTCCATGGTAACAAAACTTTCGTGTAAAAATAAAATTACCCGATTAAACGTCAAGCTCTTGTGTATTTACCCCCGAATAAATCACACGTGATATTTTATAACTAATAAAAACGCGACTACCATATACAGGGTGTATCTGAATGACGTGCCCAAACTTCAGGGGGTGATTCTTTAGGCAATTTTAAGGGTACTTTCTTATATAAACTATGAGCGATTTCGACTCCCCTGCGGAGCTACGCCCCTTCAAAAATGGCGAAAAATTTTGGTTTATTTTTTTTTCCCGAAATCCATTAATACCACGAAAATGAAATTTGGGAAATATGTTTAGCTTATAATAGGGCATGTTTCGAGCCTATTTGTACTTTCAATCTTCCCTTCTAAGTTACTAAACATAACCATCCCCGTTCAATTTTTGTCTAGATCTATTTTATGACGGTGATAAATACATTGGAAATATTTTATTTAGATAGACGAAAATATTCTAAAACTTTTTTGCCTCTCTGATGTTCTTCGAAAAGTTAATAGATTCTGAGAAAAAAATTAATTAAGCAAATATTAATAAAACTCTGGGTTAACGATGAAAATGGTTTATTTTATTTTAAATTCGGTGCTACATGTTTTGGAATTATCTTATTCCTTCATCGGGCACGACTGGAAGTATCGAAATGCTGTTAGTTATAGATTTTTTAGAGATAAAGAAAGTTATAATTACCGTCAATGTTGAGGAGTTAAAATTAATTGTTTCGTTAAATGAATCAAGGACATATCAACAGAATAAAGTTTCAAGAAAACTTTTCTTTAAAGAATATCTCTCTCCAAAAAAGTATCGATCTACACGTGTTTTATAGTTAAGAAAATACTTTTCTATCAAAATTAACATAACACACTATTCCATTTTTTTTTAAAACTGCTAAAAGAGAGAATGGGTTAAAAAAGGGGGGTGCGAGAAGCTTTCGAAACTTACAAAATTATTAAAATTAAACTCAGTCAGAGTCCATGTGTTGAGCACAAGTGGAAAAATTGAACTGAGGGGACATGAAATTTGGTTGGGTAAACGATAGCGCATGCGTTACAATTATTTAAGAGATGTGGAAAATTAGAAGTCATCTTATAAATTTAATGAAATGTCTGAAACTATTAAGATCTTCAACATCGTTCATAAGTTGATTATTGTGATTATTAATATGAATGTAGTATTCCTCTAAAAGATCTAATTCTTTAGATTTATGGAAGTTCTTGATAAGTTTC